ACCAGGTGAGTGCTTCAGTGCTGAGACCCTCCACTAGCCCACCAGGCGAGTGCTTCAGTGGCTGAGACCCTCCACTAGCCCACCAGGTGAGTGCTTCAGTGGCTGAGACCCTCCACTAGCCCACCAGGCGGGTGCTTCAGTGGCTGAGACCCTCCACTAGTCCACCAAGTGAGTGCTTCAGTGGCTGAGACCCTCCACTAGCCCACCAGGCGGGTGCTTCAGTGGCTGAGACCCTCCACTAGCCCACCAGGCGAGTACTTCAGTGGCTGAGACCCTCCACTAGCCCACCAGGCGAGTGCTTCAGTGCTGAGACCCTCCACTAGCCCACCAGGCGGATGCTTCAGTGGGTGAGACCCTCCACTAGCCCACCAGGTGAGTGCTTCAGTGCTGAGACCCTCCACTAGCCCACCAAGAGAGTGCTTCAGTGGCTGAGACCCTCCACTAGCCCACCAGGTGAGTGCTTCAGTGGCTGAGACCCTTCACTAGCCCACCAAGTGAGTGCTTCAGTGCTGAGATCCTCCACTAGCCCACCAAGTGAGTGCTTCAGTGCTGAGACCCTCCACTAGCCCACCAAGTGAGTGCTTCAGTGCTGAGACCCTCCACTAGCCCACCAGGCGAGTGCTTCAGTGGCTGAGACCTTCCACTAGCCCACCAAGTGAGTGCTTCAGTGCTGAGATCCTCCACTAGCCCACCAAGCGAGTGCTTCAGTGCTGAGACCCTCCACTAGCCCACCAGGTGAGTGCTTCAGTGCTGAGACCCTCCACTAGCCCACCAGGCGAGTGCTTCAGTGCTGAGACCCTCCACTAGCCCACCAGGTGAGTGCTTCAGTGCTGAGACCCTCCACTAGCCCACCAGGCGAGTGCTTCAGTGCTGAGACCCTCCACTAGCCCACCAGGCGAGTGCTTCAGTGGCTGAGACCCTCCACTAGCCCACCAGGCGAGTGCTTCAGTGCTGAGACCCTCCACTAGCCCACCAGGTGAGTGCTTCAGTGCTGAGACCCTCCACTAGCCCACCAGGTGAGTGCTTCAGTGCCGAGACCCTCCACTAGCCCACCAGGTGAGTGCTTCAGTGGCTGAGACCCTCCACTATCGCGAGACACCCTTTGTATATATATATATATATATATATATATATATATATATATATATATATATATATATATATATATATATATATATATATATATATATATATATAAGTACATTGCAGTGTAAGACATATATATATGTACATTGCAGTGTAAGACATATATATAAGTGCATTGCAGTGTAAGACAAATGACATGCGCTCCTGCAAGTATGTGTTATGGAACACAATGGTCAACATAGTCGTTGTTTCACGATCGGGGGACCCGGGTTGAACCCCCGGCCAGGACAGGTAACGGTTGACTAAGTTTCCTTTCACCTGATGCAGCTGTTCACATAGGAGTTAAATAGGTTCCAAGGGAAACAGGTGCATTTTGAATGCCTTATTGTTGCTTGGTATAGAACCCCTGGTACACTGCGCATGACAGAGCACCTGGTACACTGCGCATGACAGAGCACCTGGTACACTGCGCATGACAGAACACCTGGTACACTGCGCATGACAGAACACCTGGTACACTACGCATGACAGAACACCTGGTACACTGCGCTTGACAGAACACCTGGTACACTGCGCATGACAGAACACCTGGTACACTGTGCATGACAGAACACCTGGTACACTGCGCATGACAGAACACCTGGTACACTGCGCGTGACAGAACACCTGGTACACTGTGCATGACAGAACACCTGGTACACTGTACGTGACAGAACACCTGGTACACTGCGCTTGACAGAACACCTGGTACACTGCGCATGACAGAGCACCTGGTACACTGCGCTTGACAGAACACCTGGTACACTGTGCATGACAGAACACCTGGTACACTGTGCATGACAGAACACCTGGAACACTGCGCGTGACAGAGCACCTGGTACACTACGCTTGACAGAACACCTGGTACACTGTGCATGACAGAACACCTGGAACACTGCGCGTGACAGAGCACCTGGTACACTGTGCATGACAGAACACCTGGTACACTGTGCATGACAGAACACCTGGTACACTGTGCATGACAGAACACCTGGAACACTGCGCGTGACAGAACACCTGGTACACTGTGCATGACAGAACACCTGGAACACTGCGCGTGACAGAACACCTGGTACACTGTGCATGACAGAGCACCTGGTACACTGCGCTTGACAGAACACCTGGTACACTGTGCATGACAGAACACCTGGTACACTGTGCATGACAGAACACCTGGTACACTGTACGTGACAGAACACCTGGCACACTGCGCATGACAGAACACCTGGTACACTACGCATGACAGAACACCTGGTACACTACGCATGACAGAACACCTGGTACACTGCGCGTGACAGAACACCTGGCACACTGCGCATGACAGAACACCTGGTACACTGTGCATGACAGAACACCTGGTACACTGCGCATGACAGAACACCTGGCACACTACGCATGACAGAACACCTGGTACACTACGCATGACAGAACACCTGGTACACTGTACGTGACAGAACACCTGGCACACTGCGCATGACAGAACACCTGGTACACTGCGCATGACAGAACACCTGGTACACTGCGCGTGACAGAACACTTGGTACATTGCGCGTGATAGAACATCTGGTCCCATGAGGAATATATCTTGAGGTTATCTTGAGATGATTTCGGGGCTTAGCGTCCCCGCGGCCCGGTCTCCGCCTCCACCGGGGATCGAACCCGGAACCTCAGGACTAAGAATCCGAATCGCTCCTATCCAGTCCTCATATCCCTTCCCCAAGTTGCTCATAATAGCTCTGAATGTTCTCATAATGACTTTACTTTACCTTACACATTCCAACACTCTTCAAGTTGTTCCAGCAAGTTTCTTGGAACAACTTGTGTAGCATGTGTGGTTAGTGTACATGTGTGCTTAGTACTACACTAAGCATGTGTGGTTAGTGTAGTACTTTTCTAAGTTAGTTGGATTTACCTTCCCTGAACCAGATTGTCTATTGGTTCCTTAGTCACCTATGTATTGCAGTGGTCTAGTGCTCATTATTATATCTAGAACCGTGTGTGATCACCTAGTTGTGTTTGCGGGGGTTGAACTTTGCTCTTTCGGCCCGCCTCTCAACTGTCAATCAACTGTTTACTAACTACTTCTTTCCCCCCCACACCACACACACACACCAGGAAGCAGCCCGTGACAGCTGACTAACTCCCAGGTACCTATTTACTGCTAGGTAACAGGGGCATTCAGGGTGAAAGAAACTTTGCCCATTTGTTTCTGCCTCGTGCGGGAATCGAACCCGCGCCACAGAATTATGAGTCCTGCGCGCTATCCACCAGGCTACGAATGTGTGTGTACTCATCTATTAGTACTTTTCTATTTGTGTTTACAAATAGAAGAATCTGGAATTAACTCTTGGATCCCGCCTTTATACCCACCGGTTGTCTAATGCAATGATTCCTTACCTATTTCCCTATCATATCCACTTTTAAAATTATGAATGGATTTTGCTTTTACAATCTGCCACCATATTTGTTTACAATTCCCACTATTTTTACGGTAAAAGATAATTTTCTAATATCTCTATGACTCATCTGAGTCTGGAACTCCCATCTAAGTCCTTTCCTTCTATTGGTATTCCCTGTGAACATTTGTTCCTTTTCCACTCTGTCAGTCCACCGAAAAACTTTATACGTCTCAGTCATGTCTCGCCTCTCTCTCTCTCTCTCTGTTGTTGTTAAAGATTCGCTACCTGGAACAAAGTTCCAAGTAGCACGGGCTATGGTGAGCCCATAGGGCACTCTCTCTCTCTGCTTGATGAGGTTCTGGGAGTTCTTCTACTCCCCAAGCCCGACCCGAAACCAGGCTCTCTCTCTCCTCTTTTCTAGCATCGTCAAGTCTAGTTCCTTCAGTCTCTCTTCACATCCCATCCCTTGTAATTCTGTAGCTTCGCTACAAACTTTTGAACTTTATCAGTTCACTTTCGTGTTTTTTAGACGGGGCTCCAGGATGGGGCGGCATACTCTTCAATTGGCCTCACATACGCGGTGTACAGCGACCTTAATGTCTCCTTATTTAGGTTCCTGAATGATGCTCTAACGTGTCCTAGTGTCCTAGTACGCTGCTGATGTTATCCTGTTTATATGTGACGCAAGAGTTAGGTTCGGTGTTATGTACCGTCTCAGGTCTCTTTCTCTATGGACGTTATAGAGAGGTATGATTGTGTTAGTACTTACCATTTGCATTTGTTATTTGGGCCTGCAGGATCGAGCTGTTAGCTTTTGAGCGAGAGAGCTCTAAGATGGGTTAAGAGAGCTTTAAGATGGGTGAGAGAGCTTTAAGATGGGTGAGAGAGCTTTAAGATGGGGTGAGAGAGCTTTAAGATGGGTGAGAGAGCTTTAAGATGGGTGAGAGAGCTTTAAGATGAGTTGAGAGAGCTTTAAGATGGGTGAGAGAGCTTTAAGATAGGGTGAGAGAGCTTTAAGATGGGGTGAGAGAGCATTAAGATGGGTGAGAGAGCTTTAAGGTGGGGTGAGAGAGCATTAAGATGGGTTGAGAGAGCTTTAAGATGGGTGAGAGAGCTTTAAGATGGGTTGAGAGAGCTTTAAGATGGGTGAGAGAGCTTTAAGATGGGTGAGAGAGCTTTAAGATGGGTGAGAGAGCTTTAAGATGGGTGAGAGAGCTTTAAGATGGGTTGAGAGAGCTCTAAGATGGGGTGAGAGAGCTTTAAGATAGGTGAGAGAGGATTAAGATGGGTGAGAGAGCTCTAAGATGGGGTGAGAGAGGGTGGCATAATCTACCCTCGTTATTGTGCTATTGGGGCCCTCTGGTCTTAGTTCTCGTGTTATGTCCACTCTTAAGTCTTTCTCTTATCGTGAAGCTGGAAGTAGTCTTCCCTTCATCCTGTGCTGTATTTGACGGGGTCTTGGCTCCAACTCTAGTCTTATAGGAGTCGCTTGTGAAGGACAATGGCAAAAGCTTTCTGGCAATCCAGGAAAATGCAGTCTATCCAGCCCTCTCTATCCTGTTTGATTGTTGTCGTCTTGTCATAGAACTCTACTAAGTTGGTGAAGTTAGAGTTACCTTTGCTGAATCCACATTGATGCTTGGAATCAAAATTTTTATGTTCTAAATGATCGATGCCACTTTTTTTGATTAGTTTAATCAAAAGAAGATCTAGACTAGACTAATAAAAAAATAAAATCTAGACTAATAATCTAGTCTTCCTCCTTTCTTGTATATATGTAGCACATTTGCCACTTTCCAAATGTCAGGCAGTTCCCCTATTTCTAGTGTGGGGTTGAAGATTATATTAAGTGGTACACACACAATGCTGCAGCTTCCGTTTTTTAGGATCGACAATGAGATCTTGTTAGGGCCTGTGGGATGAGATCCTATCCGGCTCCTCTGTTTCGTTATTTCCTCTGGTCTTACTACTGTTTCAACCAGTCTTTCTTAAGGCTGCAACTGATATCCATTAGAGGTCGTAGATCGGGGGGGAAAGTTCTAGTTTGATCTTAAAAAAAACTTTTTGGGTGCATTTATTTAGTTCTTCACACACTTCCTTATCATTCTTTGTGTAGCTGATCAGGTGATCGGTTTACTAACATCTTCCTCCGCATATTCAGTAGCTTAGACTGCTCCTTGGCCCTGGATGCTGTGTCATTCTCATACTGCTTCTCTGCTGCTCTCCGAATTCCTGTGTAGTCATTCCTCGTGTATATATGTTGTGGTTCCCCTCTGTTCAGTGCTCACTATATTTTGTCCAAGCTCTTTTACTTCTCCCTTTTTTTGGGCCTCTAAGACTTGTATATTAAACCATGAGCAATGTATTTTCTTAGCGCAGTTATCCCTTAGGAGTGGTGTAAATCTTTTTTTCCATTGGTCATCATGTCTTGTATTTTGTCTTTTAGTTCTAATTCCCATGGTATTCTCTCTACATATTCTCTTATCTTCTGTTACTCACCTTTATGGAGAGCAAGTTCCCATTCCTCTCTTCTCTTCCTTTAGCCACAACTTTCATAAAAACAATAATAGAAGATTAGTACACATTAGTCGCTGGTCCCCCAATGGTATTTCATGCTCACTGTTCTCAATGTCCATTTCGCCTTGAGTGAAAATTAAGTCCAATCTTGCACATTGGGCCCCTCCCTCGTTTTGTGTTTTCTCCTTTATAAGTTGTCTTAGAAAGACAACTTCTACCGGTTTCGTTGTGTTTCTACTCCCGGTTTCTGATCTAGTGATTCACAGTCACTTTGCCCCATGATTGAACTCACCCATTACTAGTAGCTTTGCCCGCTATCTAAAGAGATAACTAGGCCCATACTGAATGATATTTATGCATGATGTGATTGTATTTTCATATTCTTGTCTGGGTCTTCTATGACTCTCCGGGGGATTGTAAATTACAGTCAAAACCACCTTTTGTTTTCTTCTTCCACTGAAATGATTCAAGTGACATAGTCCGTGTTACTTGTAACCTTCTCTTTAGTGATCTCTCTTATACTTGCTGTCTCTGTTGACCAGCAGTGCCGCCTCCTTCCCTCTGCTCTCTTTATCTTCTTCCTATTTTGGTATTGTCTGGGGGATATTGCGTTTGTGATTTCAATTAATTTGGTTTTTACTATTACACCCGTGCTGTTTAGCACGGGTGGGACGCGAACAAGGGGACACAGGTGGAAACTGAGTACCCACATGAGCCACAGGGACGTTAGAAAGAACTTTTTCAGTGTCAGAGTAGTTAATAAATGGAATGCATTAAGTAGTGTTGTGGTGGAGGCTGACTCCATACACAGTTTAAAATGTAGATATGATAGAGCCCAGTAGGCTCAGAAATCTGTACATCAGTTGATTGACAGTTGAGAGGCGGGACCAAAGAGCCAGAGCTCAACCCCCGCAAGCACAATTAGGTGAGTACATATACACACACACACATCGTGGTATCCTTGTAAACTCACACAACGGAAACAACACATTCCAAGTTTAGGTCTATACAGCAGAAACCTTAGAATATCCTGTGTCTGTTCTCCTGTGAGTTTACATGGTGAGTATGTACTCACCCGCCTGTGCCTGTAGGAACGAGCCTTAGCTCTTGGACCCCGCCTTTCTAGCCGCTGGTTATCAAATGAAGTTTGATATTTACTTTTGAAATTATGAATAGAGTTGGCTTCTACAAATTGTTCATTTACCTCATTCACTTTCCCACTTCTCTTACCCTAAAATATAACTTTCTAACACCTCGATGATTCATCTCACTCTTCTTTTAGACCGTCGTTAGGTCTAGCTTTTTCAGTCTTTCTTCTCACGCCCGTCCCTTGAAATTATGGTAGGCAATGTACTAAATGCTGACTTTTGGTAGGGTAGAATACGCTGCTAATGTTATCATCCTACTTATCCACTCACAGATCTTTTTCTCTTGTCGTTACAAGGAAGTAGTTTCCCTTCGTTGTGGATCCTTCTTTTGTGCTTCTGTCTCCTTTCCCACCACTGTACACTTACTTGTATCGAACTCCAGTAGTCATTTCACCGGCCCATCTCTGTAACTTGTTCAAGTCCTCTCGGCAAATCCTATACAATCCACAACTGTTGCAACTCCTCTCATTAATTGTCCGCAAACATCGACTGTAGACAGGTCATTACCATCAATGAGAAATGTTAGGGGTCCCAGTACCGATCCTTGAGGTACTCCGCTTGTTACCCTGCGCCAATCCAACATCTTCACCCCCCCCCCCACCACTACTCTTACTCTCGGGTTCCCGCTAGTTATTGCCTTACTGGCTGTGCTCTTCATCTCACTCCCGCCTGCTTCTCAAGTTTGTGCAGTAATCTCGTGTGAGATACTGTGTCAAAGGCTTTTTAGCAGTCTTGAAATACGCAGTCTACCCAACATTCTCTGTCGCCGCGTGTGTACTTGCGGGGGTTGAGCTTTGGCTCTTTGGTCCCGCCTCTCAACTGTCAATCAACTTATGTACAGGTTCCTGAGCCAACTGGACTCTATTATACCTACATTTGAAACTGTGTATGGAGTCAGCCTCCACCACATCACTGCCTAATGCATTTCATCTGGTAACTACTCTGACACTGAAAAATTCTTTCTAATGTCTTCTGTGGCTCATTTGGGCACTATGTTTCCACCTGAGTCCCCTTGTTCGTGTCCCACCCGTGCTGAAGAGTTTGTCTTTGTCCACCCTGTCAACTAACCTAAGAATTTTGTAGGTGGTTATCATGTCTCCCCTTACTTTTCTGTTTTCCAGGGACGTGAGGTTCAGGTCCTTTAGCCTTTCATCGTAGCTCATTCCTCTTAGTTCCGGGACGAGTCTGGTGGCATACCGCTGAATCTTCTCTAACTTTGTTTTGTGTTTAACTAGGTATGGACTCCAGGCTGGAGCTGCATACTCCAGGATTCGTCTGACATAAGTGGTATACAAGGTCCTGAACGATTCCATACACAAGTTTCTAAAGGCAGTTCTTATGTTGGCCAACCTAGCATATGCCGCTGATGATATCCTTTTGATGTGGGCCTCTGGGGACAGGTTCGGTGTGATATCAACCCCCAGACCTTTCTCTCTTTTTGACTCTTGCAGGATTTCCCCTCCCAGATGATGGCTTGTGTTCAGCCTCCTGCTCCCTTCGCCTAATTTCATTGTTTTACACTTTCCTGAGTTGAACTTTAGCAGCCATTTTCTAGACCATTCCTCCAGTTTGTCCAGGTCATCCTGTAGTCTGTCTATCTTCACCTGTTTTGATTTTTCTCATATTTTTTGCATCATCAGCAAACATTGAGAGGAATGAGTCTATACCTTCTGGAAGATCGTTTACATATATTAGAAACAGGATGGGTCCAAGTACTAAGCCCTGCGGGACTCCGCTGGTGACATCTCGCCACTTTGATGTCTTCCCCCTCACCGTTACTCGCTGTTTCCTGTTGCTTAGATACTCCCTTATCCACTGGAGCCCCTTACCTTCTACTTCTGCCTGTTGCTCCAACTTTTCTAACAGCCTTTGATGGGATACTGTGTCAAAGGCTTTCTGACAGTCCAGAAAATGCCGTCTGCTCACCCTTGGTGGGGGTGGTGGTGGTGTACTCACCTAGTTGTACTCACCTAGTTGCACTCACCTAGTTGTGATTGCGGGGGTTGAGCTCTGGCTCTTTGGATCCGCCTCTCAACTGTTAATCAATCAATTTTTATGTGTGTTTACTATTTGTATTTATTTGTGTCTGCAGAATCGAGCTATTAGCTCTTTGACCCCGCCTTTCTAACCAATCTATTTTTTCCTCAATTATATCTACTACATAAATTTTACGTTCGTCATAAGTCACGTTCGTTCGAGGTGAAGAAAAAGAAATAAATACTGTAAAATGTTATTTACATTCTACAGTTTTTATTATATTAAATTATGAGCCGTGATAAAACGGAGGAAAGTGTCCTAAAAGATATTATTAATAGGAACGTTATCCTTACAGACAAAAATCAGAAAATAAAATTGACAATTTACTACAAAAACAAAAAAACGACCAACCTACTCATGAAAAACTCCCCAGACACCAAACACAACGCCTTGAAGGAAACCAACGTTGTCTATGCCTTCACATGCCCACTTGGGGACTGTAAGTCTTAAAGAACTCAATATATAGGCAAGACAACAACGACTCTTTCTAGGCGATTAACAATGCACAAACAACAGGGCTAAATGAAGGATCATATAATCTCTTCTCACAACCAGACCATCACCAGAGAAATCTTAACAAGCAACACAGAAATCATCGATAGATACAGTGATAGCAGGAGACATCAGCGACATCAGCGAGGCACTACACATCAAAAAGTCAACATCAGCAATCAACAGCCAATTAACGCATAACTATATTCTACCCACTTCAAGACAACGAAGCAACATAGAAGCAGCAAGAGAAAGTATGGGCCAATAGACCTTCTGTACTTCCATTCTTATATTTTCATACCCATTGATTCGTGTTCTGTCACCTCACTCAAAAGTTTAATGTCATATCATCTCACCTAAAACAATTAAAAAGCATGATGTATGTTATATATAAACCAACTCTTTGAAAATGTAAGAAGTCTTACGAAATGCTTCTAGGCTTCAGACTAAAAATAAAAATGTAAAAAAAAAAAAATGAATTTTGGAGAGTTAATTTTTCAATTACCCTCGATAGTGAAGAAAGACGTAATAAATATTGAGAAAATTCGTGTTGGAATTATTAATCTTACCCTTTCGGTCATATTTAACAACATTTATGTTTACTAGAAAGACTGCTACCAATATATATATATATATATATATATATATATATATATATATATATATATATATATATATATATATATATATATATATATATATATATATATATATATATATATATATATATATATATATATATATATATAATGTATTCATTGAATACGAGAGCAAATTGTTTTGGTGAGGCAGTAAAGGATAATTACTAGGCGCGTGTAAGGATGAACATTGTCTCCGCTACTAATGGGTAGTTGAACATGGCGCCCAAAACACACCTGTATGCCAGCCAGTCCTCCCCCCCCCCCCGGGTCCCCCCAGTCCACCCGGAGCGCCAGTAACCACCGCTGACAAGCCATACACCAATTCAATTACAGCTATTTTCCTCCTGCGCGCGACGCTCCAGTACGACTCTTGGGTCCGGCTGCCGCAGAGGTGATCGGGGCCCCCTGCGCGTCCTCCGCCGTCGTTACCGGCCTAAACGCTTCTGCGACACTATATTTTGCAGTGTAATTTGATCAAGAAGACGTCGACGGGGAGGAAGAGTTCGTTCTCAAACGTGTGTTCGTCCGTCGGCTCGGGCTTGTGTACACCGCCAACCTCGAGAACCGCCTCCTCTCCGACACCCTGCGTTCTTGGCTTCCTCTAAACCCCTGCCAGCACCCCCACCCGTAGCCCACGACCCCCCACCCGCCCATCCCTCATCCCCCTCTTCATCAAACGCACATATATGCCTTTAAAAGCTATTAAACCCTCGCTTAAGAAGGCCATTTAAGCGAATATGGTGGTGGTGGGAGGGTTGGCGCGGGCATTCGGACGAGGACATACTTGCGGTCTCACGCAGCCGCCGGCTATCCAACTCTTTCTCAAAATAAGCAGACACATTGCAGACATGCTCGTTGCGTCCGGTTTCTCGCATTGCGGCTTCGCTATCTTCTCGCCGCGTTCGGGTGGCGCTGACGCTGGCGGGGGCAGCGAACCCTCCGTTTCTCTACGGTCCAACGCAAAATCCATCGACGCGAATCCGGCGGCGTGGCAGCGGCTGGGAGGCCGGATAGGGACTCGGGATAGGTGTTAGGCGAAGTCGAGGTAGGAGTCGAGAGGAGAGGAGTTTAGTGGTAGCCAAGCGTGGCCCAGCATAATCTGGCGGGTGTTAGGTGGTAGTAGAGACGGGGCTCAGACGGCCCTCTCATACAACACTATACACCATACACTATACAGTAGGCACCGGCCGCATACATGCGCACCGCAGGCGGGTATGACATGCTTACTCACGCATGAGGATAGGAGGGATGTTCGCCTAGCCTGAGCTTGGGTTTGGTGGGTGTGTATGTTCTGCCTGTCTGTCCCCTCACACGTCACCCCCCCGGCCACTGTCCCCTCACACGTCACCCCCCCCGGCCACTGTCCCCTCACACACACCTCCCCCCCCCGGCCACTGTCCCCTCACACGTCACCCCCCCCCCGGTCACTGGCCCCTCACCCCCCCCCCCCGGCCACTGTCCCCTCACACGTCACCCCCCCCCGGCCACTGTCCCCTCACACACACCTCCCCCCCCCGGCCACTGTCCCCTCACACACACCTCCCCCCCCCCGGTTACTGTCCCCTCACACACACACCCCCGGCCACTGTCCCCTCACACCCCCCCCGGCCATTGTCCCCTCACACGTCACCCCCCCCCCCCGGCCACTGTCCCCTCACACACACCTCCCCCCCCCCGGCCACTGTCCCCTCACACACACCTCCCCCCCCCGGCCATTGTCCCCTCACACACACCTCCCCCCCCCCGGCTACTGTCCCCTCACACACACACCCCCGGCCACTGTCCCCTCACACGTCACCCCCCCCCGGTCACTGTCCCCTCACACACACCCCTCCCCGGCCACTGTCCCCTCACCCCCCCCCCCGGCCATTGTCCCCTCACACGTCACCCCCCCCCCGGCCACTGTCCCCTCACACCCCCCCCCCGGCCACTGTCCCCTCACACCCCCCCGGCCATTGTCCCCTCACACGTCACCCCCCCCGGCCATTTTCCCCTCACACGTCACCCCTCCGGCCACTGTCCCCTCACACGTCACCCCCCCCGGCCACTGTCCCCTCACACCTCCCTCCCCCCCGGCCACTGTCCCCTCACACCCCCCCCCCAGCCACTGTCCCCTCACACACCCCCCCCGGCCACTGTCCCCTCACACGTCACCCCCCCCCGGCCACTGTCCCCTCACACCCCCCCCCGGCCACTGTCCCCTCACACCCCCCCGGGCCTCTGTCCCCTCACACCTCCCCCCCCCGGCCACTGTCCCCTCACACCTCCCCCCCCCCGGCTACTGTCCCCTCACACCTCCCCCCCCGGCCACTGTCCCCTCACACCTCCCCCCCCGGCCACTGTCCCCTCACACACACCCCCGGCCACTGTCCCCTCACACACACCCCCGGCCACTGTCCCCTCACACACACCCCCGGCCACTGTCCCCTCACACACACCCCCGGCCACTGTCCCCTCACACGTCACCCCCCCGGCCACTGTCCCCTCACACCTCCCTCCCCCCCGGCCACTGTCCCCTCACACTCCCCCCCGGCCACTGTCCCCTCACACCCCCCCCGGCCACTGTCCCCTCACACCCCCCCCCCGGCCACTGTCCCCTCACACCTCCCTCCCCCCCCCCCCGGCCACTGTCCCCTTACACTCCCCCCCGGCCACTGTCCCCTCACACCCCCCCCCGGCCACTGTCCCCTCACACCTCCCTCCCCCCCCGGCCACTGTCCCCTCACACCTCCCTCCCCCCCCGGCCACTGTCCCCTCACACCCCCCCCCGGCCACTGTCCCCTCACACCTCCCTCCCCCCCCCCCGGCCACTGTCCCCTCACACCCCCCCCCCCGGCCACTGTCCCCTCACACCTCCCTCCCCCCCCCCGGCCACTGTCCCCTCACACTCCCCCCCGGCCACTGTCCCCTCACACTCCCCCCCGGCCACTGTCCCCTCACACCCCCCCCCCCCCGGCCACTGTCCCCTCACACCTCCCCCCCCGGCCACTGTCCCCTCACACCTCCCCCCCCGGCTACTTTCCCCTCACACCTCCCCCCCCCCGGCCACTGTCCCCTCACACCTCCCCCCCGGCCACTGTCCCCTCACACCTCCCCCCCCGGCCACTGTCCCCTCACACCTATACACAGTGCTGTGTATAGGTGTGAGGGGACGGTGCCCTATCCCCCCCCCTATCCCCATTCTAAGTAAAAATTCTTACCTATGATGTCCCCTCACGGTCCCCCCCCCCCTGTGATGTTTAACAGTGATAAATTCCAGGTACTCAGGTACGGCAAAAATGAGAACCTGAAACATAATACAGGGTACAAAACACAATCGAATCTGCCCATAGTAGAAAAACAGCATGTCAAGGATTTGGGAATAATGATGTCCGACGACCTAACGTTTAGGGAGCATAACCAAGCAAACATTGCGACAGCCAGAAAAATGATAGGATGGATTACGAGAACTTTCAAGTTCAGAAATCCCATCACAATGGTTGTACTCTTCAAATCACATGTGTTGTCCCGTCTTGAGTATTGCTCAGTACTCACTTCCCCCTTCAGAGCAGGAGAGATTGCTGAAATAGAGGGAATACAGAGAACATATACGGCACGCATAGACGAGATAAAACACCTAAATTATTGGGATCGTCTCAAAGCTCTCCAAATGGACTCACTAGAAAGGAGACGAGAGAGATACCAAATAATATACACATGGAAAATACTGGAGGGTCAGGTCCCAAATCTGCACAGTAAAATAACAACGTACTGGAGTGAACGATATGGAAGAAAATGCAGAATAGAACCAGTGAAGAGCAGAGGTGCCATAGGCACAATCAGAGAACACTGTATCAGAGGTCCACGGTTGTTCAACACCCTCCCAGCGAGCATCAGAAATATTGCAGGAACAACCGTGGACATCTTCAAGAGGAAACTAGATTGTTTTCTTCAAGGAGTGCCGGACCAACCGGGCTGTGGTGGGTATGTGGGTCTACGGGCCGCTCCAAGCAACAGCCTGGTGGACCAAATTCACACAAGTCAAGTCTGGCCTCGGGCCAGGCTTGGGGAGTAGAATAACTCCCAGAACCCCATCAACCAGGTATCAACCAGTTATGCCCATTGTAAGTAAAAAAGTCTTACCTATGTCCATTCTAAGTAAAAAATCTTACCTATCCCTATTCTAAGTAAAAAATTCTTACCTAACTCCATTCTAAGTCAAAAATTCTTAATTATGCCCGTTTTAAGTAAAAAAATTCCTTCCTATGGCCATTCTTGATAAACAATTCTTACTGATGCCCATTCGAGGTAAAAAAAAATCTTGCCCATACCCATTCTCAATAAAAAAAACTTTCTTATAAATATCCATTCTGTCCAAAAATTCTTACCATTCCCATTAATTTTTGTTTAAATTTGGTTAACAAAAAAAATACCTGTACACATCCTAAATAAAAAAAAAATAATTACATACCAATTGTCAAATTTAATTTCAATAAAATTTTAGACTTAACGCGCCTGAATTTGGACGTTATGGCCAGCGGCGTATGAAACTGTGGTGTTATAAATGTAATTATTGCGCTGGACGATAGAGCGACAGTCTCGCTTCCTGCAGGTCGGCGTTCAATCCCCGACCGTCCACAAGTGGTTGGGCACCATTCCTCCCCCCCCTATCCCCGTCCCATCCCAAATCCTTATCCTGACCCCTTCCCCAGTGCTATATAGTCGTAATGGCTTGGCGCTTTCCCCCCCTGATAATGCCCTCATACTCATTTTCTGCGCCAAAACCACCTTAAATCATACGCTTGTCAGTCAACGAGGATTCTTGAACTATCGACCACAGCGACAGTTTTCTGACGTTTTATTCAAATTAAAAGCACCGTAATAGTGACGTTTGTCGGGATTAAAACACCGTTCCTGTGCCAGGAACTTACTAAGAAGGTTAGGTGAGGTCGGTGTTTTCTATGAAGCTTTTCAAGGTAAACTAAAATATTCACAATCAATTAGTATGTCACATATGCACTTATTAAATAAGCCAATATTGACTATAAGCAAGTGCGAGAACGGGTTGCACCATAGCCTGTGCAACTTGCCCCGCTCCTGTGCCAAGTAAGTTACGGGCTCACCATAGCCTGTGCTACTTGCCCCGCTCCTGTGCCAAGTAAGTTACGGGCTCACCATAGCCCGTGCTACTTGCCCCGCTCCTGTGCCAAGTAAGTTACGGGCTCACCATAGCCCGTGCTACTTGCCCCGCTCCTGTGCCAAGTAAGTTACGGGCTCACCATAGCCCGTGCTACTTGCCCCGCTCCTGTGCCAAGTAAGTTACGGGCTCACCATAGCCCGTGCTACTTGCCCCGCTCCTGTGCCAAGTAAGTTACGGGCTCACCATAGCCCGTGCTACTTGCCCCGCTCCTGTGCCAAGTAAGTTACGGGCTCACCATAGCCCGTGCTACTTGCCCCGCTCCTGTGCCAAGTAAGTTACGGGCTCACCATAGCCCGTGCTACTTGCCCCGCTCCTGTGCCAAGTAAGTTACGGGCTCACCATAGCCCGTGCTACTTGGAACTTGTTCCGAGTAGCTGAATCTATAACACACAACAAACAACGGGATTAAAAAGAGGATTGACCTCCATAGGTTACGAGGATTGCTTACCGATTCGTAGGCTTTTGGTTAAGCCCAACCGCTTCAGACTTTACGTTTGTCAAATGGCGAGAACGACTCTATTCACCTCTGCAAATAATGAGTACAATTAAGTGAATAATAAATAATTATTCAGTGAATAAAGGGTTATAATAAAGTGAATAATGCCAATCTCAGATTATAAATAAACTTCGCTTAGCCCCAGCCACAGCCCATGCTGCACCGGCCAATCAAAACACACCAATCTGGGCAAGGCTTGA